AAGGGACAAAGTGCTAACTCCCTGAGGGTAGACCCTGTCTGGCTTGGCCACCCATAATTCCCAATACCCAGAAAAACCTTTAGCAAAGAAGTGAGAATTACTGTTTGCTTTCTTGGATGGAGGATGAATGGATGGATGGATGGATGGATGGATGGATGGATGGATGGATGGGAGAGGCACAAGATGGGGGAGGCAGCAGAGCCTCCAGCAGATTTGGGTTGGATTTCAAGGGCAATGGGAAGGTGCTGGAGGGCGATGTGTACAGTAGAGAGCAGCAGCCCCTTGGCGCTCCCTCTCCCTGCTGGTACAGGAATCTGTGCAGGTGACAGTGTGGCCTACTAACACGGTGTCTACCCTGACTCCAGAGGAAAATGCTGCTTGCGAAACCCAGGAGCTCCCTGACAGAAACCTGGGAGGCCAGCCTATGAGAGCATGTCCTACTGACAAGCTGGACGTTGCTGCTAGGAATGGTGTCTGGGCCTTCACAGCGACGCCTGGAGCTCCAAGCAGCACTATCTGCTAAAGAGGAGGGGGGAGGGGACATCCAACCAAAAAAAGCCTCCTGCCACCTTCTAACTGGGTCAGTCCCTTCCTAGCTACATCTGAGAGCCGAGGTGTCAAACGGAGCTTCTGCTTGAGAATCAGCTTTGCACCGCGGGCTCCCTGCTGGGCAGTGCTCCCTGCCTCTCACAACTCACACCTGCCTGGCCTCCTTTCCCGCCTGCCCTGGGACGCACAGTGCGAGGGCTCTCGGGCTTTGCTCTGGGCTGCGGCCTCTCGGCAGGCCCCCTGTTGCTAACCCTAGCTGTGTGAGTGTGGGGAGGGCGCTCTACCTCTCTGAGCCTCATCAACGACACCTGCAAAATGAGTCTCATAATAGAACTTTCACACTTCCAGGGGTTGTTGGGAGATTAAAATGAGGCCACTTGCACAAAGTTCTTGGCCCAGTGCCTACCTACATGTGGTAATCCCACAGCCAGTGGCAGTTATTAGCTTTATGGTGAGCTCCTACTGTGTGCAGGGCAGGGAGGGGCTGGAGCTGATGAGGTCTGGTCTGTAAGGGAGGAGCCAGGCAGTGTTGCTTGCTGATAAGACAAGAGGCTGGTTCACTGCTCGGAGTGGTGGGAGAGTCCAAGAGTGCTTCCTGCAGGAGGAGGCCTCGGGGAAGGAGGCCTCAGGGAAGGAGCAGCACTGGAACTGAAGCGCAGATCTGAGAGGGAAGGGACAGTGGTGAGGACTGAGGGACACACCAGGGCGGCAGGAAGTGAGAGGTGTACCTGATGCTGGGTGCCAGGCTGTTGGAAAGCGCCGTGGCTTCAAGGTGTATTCTATCAGTATCCTGATGTTATGATGGAAGAAAACCGGCTTCAGAGAAAGGATCCAAGCTAGAGTTCTAGACAAGTCAGCAGGACAGTATCTTGGGGCCAGTGCTCAAGAGGGCAGTGGGGAGCCAGAAATTGCTCTTGAGCAGGGGAACACCTTGACAAGGTAAGTCTGTCAGGGGTGCAGAAGGCAGCCAGAGCATCACTGAGAGGCTGAAGGTGAGAGGACACATTAATGGCTGTGGCGATGGACTAAGAGAGAGGGTCTCGAACTTGTGGGGGGTCCTCTTCTCCACACACCCCAGTTTCTCCACCTGAAAGCTGAAGGAGTTGGAGTAGGGTGTTTCAAGAGTTCTGTTATCTGAGAGCGCCTCTCTGGTCCTGTGACCTCAGCCATCCCAGCAGGCTACTATCCCAGGTCCCACTGCTTACTCACACAGCATGGGTTGTGCTAGGCAGGATGGGCACAGCCTCTTCAACAGAGCACTGGTGTTTACAGATACATAAGCAGGCAGAACTGCAGGACCTGTGGACATCTCCTATCCTGCTCACTCAAATGAGGCTGATCTCTCGGACCCGATCTTTTCCTTATGGGCTGCAGCCTCTCCCTCATGGTCCCCATTTCCACCAACCCCGGCTAAGGAGCCCAGCTCCTTTCTCCCATGTCAGCAGACAACTCCCATAGGGACTCAGGAGACCATCCAAGTGGGGGCGAGGGCAGCCAGGTTCCTACCACTGGCCCGGACTCCTGTGGGTCCAACACCTTGGTAGCGACTCCAGAAATCCATACTGAAGCCCAAATCTTGCCTCTCCCTGTTCTCTCAAGAGATGGTTTCGGTTCCACACAGTCCTTGCTCATTTGTGCAACAAAAAGCATGCCACCTACTAAATGTCACACACGGAGGCAGGTGCCTGGGTTCAACAGTGTGTCAACAGACAGGGCTCTGGTCCTCTTAGGGACTGTAAGCATACCGACAAGGAAGGTGAGCAATCCAGAGCCTGAGCCAGGGCTCCCCAACATCCTCACTGGGCATGGGCAGTCTGCTTTGGCAACTTTGGGGGAGGTGACTGCGGAGCTAAGTAAGACCTAAAGGGGGAGACAACCCAAAGATGCAAAGAATCAGAAGGAAGAGCCTTTCTGGAAGAATGGAACAGCAGGTGCAAAGACCCTTTTAGTCCTGAGGGACTAGAAGCTCGAGTGGCCAGGTTGAGAGCAGGCCTCTGTGGCCCTCAGGAAATGGCGCGAGCTCTCCCAGGGCACCTGACATCTCTGCCTGCCCAGCCTCCATTTGATGAAGCTGGCATAGTCTTGAACATCTCTAGAGTGGCCTCCTATATGTATGTTGCTCTCTAACCATCCAGTGAGGACATTTTAAAATGCTAGGGGCTCAGAAGGAAGGGCTGGCAGGTTAAACAGGGTCACAGGCTGAAGACCTGGGCCCAGTGTTGTTGGGGGAAAGAGGGCATGACCATTAGTGTTGCTTCCTAGCTGTCCCCCACACAGCGTCACTCAACAAGTAACTCTGGAAATGTATACCTTCACTAGCCAGAGGGAGAAATGGAGACCAATGAGGAAGGAGAGTCATCTTTTCTCAGGGAAAGTCTGTGACTGGATCCCAGCTCTGTCCTTGTTTCTGGAGCAGGGGTGAGAGTCACATGCCCTGAACAGAAATGGTGGGGGCAGCTTCCAGCTCCTCCCTGCAGGACAGACTAACCTGGCTCTTAGGCAGCCTTTCCTGCAGTCCCAGGACCCCAGGTTGCCCACAGCTCTTCCCTCTTCTCTCTGATAGAAGAAACAAATCCTTCTGTCTCTGGGCAGCCACATTCTCCCACCTGCCTCCAGACCACAGCAGTAGAGCTGGCCTCCACAGCTCCTGTGCACAGACACTGTGTAGGTCGCTTGTCTGGGCCGGAAGTTCCTGCAGGCTCTCTCCTGTCCTCAGATCCCCACAGACCCATTCCTTCTGACACACACAGGTCTAAGTCCCCACGCATGGGGAACTCCCCCATCCATCTCATGTCACCTGATCACTGGGAAGCAGCAAGTGAGAAACAAAAGATGGACCTCGTCCTGTAGACAGCGCCAGTCACAGGCCTGAAGAACACCAGACAGGCCCCCACATTAGACTACATGCCCTTTGCGCAACCTAACATGGGGATCGTACTCCAGGAGCCATGGACAAGCTTCGGGGGGCCCTGGGTTGATGCCTAGTGAGGTATCCATTTTCTCCAGGGAGAGGTCTGTATGTCCCACCTCCTTTTCCAAAAGAGTGTTTTCATAACTCAGACCATGGCCCAAATGCTGCACAACCTTCTTCCCCGCTCATTTCACAGACAGTAAAACTGGGACCCAGAAAAGATGACTTACAGTTCAGAAAAGTGGTTGTGTAGAGCGTGAGAGCACAGGCTTGGTATGCAGTCTGCCTGGGGTCAAATCCCACCCCTAGCTGCTGGCTGTGAGGTCTTGTAAGTATCTAACCACTCTGTGCCCAGTTTCTCCTCTTTGAAGCTGAGGTGACAACAGCACCTAGAGCAGTGCTCTGCGAGTTAGATGCTCCAGCTGCTGTTATTACTTAATCAAGGCCACAGAAGTGAGTGGCCAAGCCTGGGTGCCCACATCTGTCTGAAGGCAAAGAGAGCTCTGGCATCCTGGGGACAGCCACGAAGTGAAGCTTTCAGCTAAGGAGCAAGCCCCCCCCCCCCCCCCCAGCATCTGCTGAGAGGCAGCCTGTGCCTGTGGGAGATGAGGGTGAAGAGGAGAGGAGGTGGGGGAAGTCCCAGGCTTGCTCTCAGCTGGGAGACCAGAAGGAGGGGCTGGACATCAAAGGGTGGGCAGGCCAGCTTCCCGCCCAGCCGGCCAGGTGGCCTTTGTCAGGACAGGCCTGGACACAGTTTAGACAATGGGGTGTCATGTTCACTTTCCGGCCAACAGGAGTCACTACTGAGCCAAGGCAGGCCAGTTACATGACAAAGTGGGGGGGGCATAAAGGTCAGGCCGCCCCTCATTAAAGCCGGGCCTTTGTCTTGCCCCCTCTTCTTCCTTTGAAGAGAGTGGATCAGAGAGGCCTGCCTGGGGGCAGGAGGTTCACAGGCTCAGGAGCCAAACAGTAGCCACCTTCCCAACTGCTCCGCTTCCCCTCCCCCAGGGTCAAGAGTTCAGGGAGGGCCGGGAGGCTAGGTAGGGATCCCCGGCCCGATCTAACCAAGGGGCTCTGGGTCAGCCCCATGAGTACAAACCGAACTCTTCACTGTAAGATGGGGCGCTAAGTCCTGGAAAGGAAAGAACCGGCCCACCTGCAGTCTCGATCGCTCCTCTTGCGGGGAGGTTGCGCCCCTGCTGGAGCCCGGGCACGGTGGAAGAAGCCACCAAGATACCGGGGGCAAGTGCTAGAGTCCTGGCACAGGCTCTGAGGACCTGACTTCTATTTCAGGCCTTGCCGCAAGCCTGGCCATTTCCTCGCTCCACGCGGTCTGTTTCCCTGTCTGTACCGAAAGAGAGTTAGGTCGGGAGACTCAAGGCGACGTAAAGAGATCTGCTGGGTGGGAGCGGTCGAGGGGCCACACTCTGCAATCCGTGCAGGGCTAGGACAGAGGTCAAAATGGACAGCCTGGGCCTCGCCGGGCACCTGCCTGTGCTGGGGACCCTCTGGAGGCGCAGGGCGAGGGAAGGGTCCTTACCGCTGCCACCGCCGCCTCCGGCCGCCACGCTGCGCCGCATCCACTCGTAGGGCGTTCGCCTCTGCGCTCCTGGCGAGGACGGGGCGCCCGGGCCGCCGAGGGGCTGCGCCAGAAGGCCGGGGCCCGGCCCTGGGGGCGCGGACACCGGGCTAAAGTCCGGAGGCGGCCCGAATGCCAGCGGGGCTGGGCTGGCGGCTGGGGCCGCGGGCCCAGGGCCGTAGGCGGCCCACTCGTCTTTGGGCGCGGGGAAGGGCGCACCCCAGGTTGCAGGGGGCGCGGGGCCCGGCTCCACGTGTGTGTAGCCGGCGAAGTCGGGGTACTGCGGGGGCGCAGGGGCCGGGGCCGGGGGGCCATAGGCTTGTGGGCCCAGGCCGAGACTGGCGGGCCTGGCGGGGCCGGGATACACGGGTGAGTCCTTGTCCAGGACATAGCCCACGTACATGGTGGCCGCGGGACCCCCCGCGCATGCTGGGCCTTGGAGCGCCGCGGCCCGCGCCCCGACGACCAGCAACCGCTCACCTGGCCTCCGCCGCGCCGCGCCCGCCCCACCCTGGCCTTTTATAGCTCCGGGCGCCCGCGGCCCCAGCCTGGGCGGGTTTGCATTTCAAAGCTGGGGGAAGCCTCTGGCCTGCGAATCAAAGGGGGAAACCCGTCGGGGGCGAGGGGTTCAAAAGGAGACAAATTGCCTCCCCAAGCGGGAGGTGGACTGGCCAGGGCTCCCGGGGATTGGGGGCGCGGAGGCGCGTTCTGGGCGAGGGTCACGGCAGTGCCACGCGTGGGAACCGCCTGAGCCTCGCTGGGACTGGTGGCCCAGGCGCCCCACCTTGCCTGTCGCTGTGGGCACAGACCGTCGACCCCAGCACACAGGTGGCCAGGCATGGGCCCACACCCGTGTTGTGACCGACTGCATATCGACCTACCAGCTTGAGGTGATGGGGGGCAATGTTGACTTCAAACAAGGCCTTGTCTTAAGGTAGGGTGCTCTTTGGGGGTGGACAAAGAGGTCACGACCCCACTAGTCTGCGATGAAAGCGATGGATGTTTCCCCCAAGAAAATGCACATATGCACATACATGAGCCTGAATACTAGTGGGGCTTCCCTTGGGGTGCCAAGAAATTTCTCAAGAGCGTGGGGGCAGGAGGGAGAGGGAGGGTCTCCTGAGAACATCCTGGGAAACTTTCCACAAATTCTCTTGACGACTTTCTACCCTTTTATTATGATTATTGAGAAGCTTCAAACATACACAAAAGTAGAACTGCATAGTAAACCCACAGGTACCCATCACCTTACTTCAACAGGTACCAAGATTGTGTCGCACTTACTTCACCTCCTTCCCTTTTTCCTAGGTGTTTTATAACAAATTCCAGATAGCATGTCATTTTACCCCTACATACTTAAGCTGCATCTCTAAAACATGGACATTTTCTTACATAATATGTCATTGTCACATCTAACAAAATGAACACAATCTTGGGTATTACCTAACACACTGTTCTTATTCAAAATGCTCCCATTGATTCAAAGACTTTTTTTTTAGTAGTTGGCTTGTATGAATCAGAATGCCAGAGCCCTGATCCGTGTGTAGTGGATAGGGCCCCTGGCTGTTTTACTTGCCTCATGTGGCACTGCCTGCATTGTTGCTGTCCTTGCTGAGCACTTGGACAGCCACGTGTGGTAGTGGCTGCCTAGAGTCCCAGCTTCTCAGGAGGCTGAGGCAGGAGGATCACAATTTCCAGTTTAGCCTGGATGAGTTAGCAAGATCCTGTCTCAAAACAAACAAATAAGTGATGAGGGCTGGGGATGTAGCTCAGTGCAGGGCTCTTGCCTGGCATGTGGAAAGCCCTGGTTTCAGTCTTCTGCAACAGAAAAAAAAAAAAGGAAAGAGAAAGCTGCTGAAGCAGGGAAGGTCGGGAGGTGAGCATATTTTTTGAGAAATTTTTCTTAGAAGGGATCAGGAGTTCTCTGGGGAGCCAGCCTCTCCAGAGAAATAGCGGGTACACAGAGGAAGAGAAGACCCAGAGGACTGAAGTCTACCCTCTGAGCTGGTTACTAGAACTGGAGGAAGAGCAGGCTGGTAGCGGGAGCTGCACTGGGAGGAGACAAGCTGGACCTGGGGCCCAAGAGAGAAAGCTGCTGGCCCTAGTTCAGGCCCACTCTTACCTGATCAAGTGCTCTTGGGAGGGGCTTCTGTGGTGAAACGGGCCCTCACAGGCACGAGCACACTGTCACAGGAGGTCCTCAGTTGGGGATCCCAGGGAGAGGAGGTTTGTGCCCTCTGTTTCCAAGAGGGCATGAAATCAGACCTAGATGGTGGCTAAAGGGTTAGGAACAGGGAGAGCAATTCACGTGTTCACTTGTCGGTTCTTCAGACACCTCCTCCTGTGCTGAGCCTGTGCTCAGGGCCTGAGGAGGTCCTGCGCCCCTGCCTAGGTGCCTGGGTGGAGGGCAGGCGGGGATGAATCAAGGAATCACAATGAAGGTAAAGCTGCCTCTTGGCGAGGTCTGGAAATGGGGGAGACATGAGAGGAGGAAGTGACTTGTGGTCAGGGTCAGAGCAGTGGCTTAGGAGTGTGTGGACTAAGGGTCACTATGAACAGAGGCTCAAGGGCCCAGGCCGTGTGCTCCCCTATATCTGACAAACTAATTATTGAGAGCCAGGGGCACAAAGGAGGCTGGGTTGGGTCCAGGCTCCTTGGGTGACAACTGAGAGATGGGCTGCATAGCTAGGGACTTTCTGTGCAAGGCATGAACTGGTTTCCTGATTGAGGAGAAGCACAGGCAGGAACCCTGGCGCCTGGGGCGCTGCTCCATGGCGCTCTGAGTGCTGTCCCTATTAGGAGGCACGCACCTCTCTCTGCAGGCACATCTTGGGGTAGGGGGAGCGGCCACCGTTTCTGCAAACTCACCACCTTCAGTCATCTGACTGCAAGCTTAGGGGACTTGGGCCGCATCTCTCAGGCAAGAGGCTAGCTCTTTCCTCTGGAGTAATCACAGCAGCACTGCTGTGTGTCCATCTCTTCTTGCCCCTCTGTATCTGTTATTTCTGTCCCTTCTCAGCACAGCCCAGGGAGACAGGGTTGATGGTCTTCCGTCTTTTGCAGAAGAGAAAGCCAGAGCTCAGAGAGGTGAAGCCACCTGCCTGAAGCCACACAGCAACTCCATGGCTTCTACCTGCAAGTTTTTCTCTTTTTTTTTTCTGTAGCTGAGCTGGCCTGTTAAGACAGTAAGGATAGTGACCCTGTGTATGCCTCCCTGTTTCTACTCATGTTAGCTGGATTTTGCTTAAACAAATAGCTAGTTCCTCTTCCTCCTCTGGGTTCCTCATGCAAAAGAACCTCTATGCTCCCCTCGCCAGGGTGGAGACACCCCCATCAGAGCCCTGAGCAGCCCTCTCCCAAAAACCCTGTAACCTTGTTGACGCCCAGGAGGTGGGCGTGTCCTTTCCAACCCGGCCCTCTGACCACCATATCCCCTATACTCCTGGGCCTCAGGTTCTCCACGTGCCCACTGGGGACGGTGGCCTCCACTGATGGTGTGGCGCAGAGAAGTCCCTGTCCCCATCGGTGTGAGCAGTTCTTCCTCTGGACAGCCCCTTATCTCTGGGCGTGGCTGTTTATTGGGCCCCTCCTTCCTCCCGCTCCAGGGTGGGGAGGGCCCCTCTCCCCCGGAAGTCCTCTCTCCAGCTGCTCTCACACTCTGGCCAGGGCCTCCTGGGGCGGGGTGCGACTTCGATGGCCTCATAAAGATCGCAGTGATAACTTAGTTTTGAAATTGGGTTTATGGTCCAGGAAGAGCTTACCATTCTGCTGGAAATAGTTTGCTCCACAGGACCGGTGGGTAGCAGGGCCAGCCTCAGGCCCACCATGCCCCACCGCGCACCACCTGAGCTCTCCAGACTGCTATGGGGTGGGGGCAGATCTAGCCAAGCCTCGAGCTTGCTGTGTGACCTTGAGCAGGTTAACGCCTCTCTCTGAATCCCTGCTTCCACTTCGGCAAGGGGACAGGAATTGCTCCCCTGAGCCTCAAAAGAGACTCTTGGTTCCAGCGAGGAATTTGCCCTCCGGACCCACCCTCCGCCCAACACCTTTCCTCCTCCCACTTCAACGGCTGAGCGCGCCACCTGCTGACACTGCTGGGAACTACAGGAGAACTCTGCCTTTCTTGTCAGGCAGTATCTGAGGCCGTAAGCCAGGGGAATGAAGCCGACCTCTAGCAGTCAGACACTTAGGCGGCAGAGAGCAGGCTACAACCGGGACTGGGACACAGAATGTCCTGTCGAAAGAGCACTATGTCCAACCTGTTCTGCAGAGATGCCGCAGCCAGGAAAAGAGCGGACTTACAGAGTGAATTAGTACGCGGGGACGGCCATCCCAACTCCCTGTGAGGCTGCCCTCCTGCAGCCTCTCAGGGGAACAATGGGTGGGGACCAGTGCTGTGGCATTCAGTACACGGTTGTCCACGACTACCTCCAGGCCACCGGCCTCTCCACCCCTGCCCCTGCTGAAAATCTCGCGGTGGTCCCGCTGGCCCCTGGATAAAAGTCAGACTCCTGCTCCCAGAAGTCCTGGATGGCCGGCCCTACTACCTCTTCAATATTATGTACTGCTCTGCCTTAACCTTTTGTTGTTGTAGTTATTGTTACTGGAGATTAAACTCAAGGCCTGATGCTGTGAATGCTTTACCACTAAGCTACGTCCTCACATCCTCGGCAATGCTTTTTTTTTTGTACCAGGGATTGAACTCAAGACTTGTGCTTGCCAGGCGGGCACTTATTTATACCGCTGAACTGTCTCCTCAACCCCCTCAGCCTTTTCAGAATTTTAAAACAGGTTTTCACTGAGTCACTAAGTTGCCCAGCCTGGCCTTGAACTTCCCATGCTCCTGCTGCAGCCTTTTGAGAGGCTAGAATTACAGGTCGGAGCCACCATACTGACCTCCACCGATCCTTTCTCTTTGTTCAAACGCACTGAGTTCTTCCTAGCATCCATGCTTCTGTAGGTTCCTTGCACCTCCAGCGCCGTTCCCACTCCTGCTTTGTGTGTGGCCTCTCTTACTCTGGTCTCTTCTGAAGTGCTTCTTCCCCAGGGAAGCCATGCCTACCTGAGCAAAACCCCTATCTGCTCAGCCCATTAGTCTCTCTATCTCTTTTTATCATAGTTATCATTGTTTTTTTATTAATTTGTGCTTTCCTCTGTGTTTGTGACATGTATAAGGATAGGCAGGCCAGACACATAGCAGGGGCTCAGTTAACTGCTGTGGCATGGATGGGTGGTAGGAAAATGAATAGTACAGTTTGGGAGTTATAGTGACAGGCCCCATCCTGAGACCTGCTGTGTGCCCTCAGGCAGGTTCTGTCCCTCTCTGAACTGTAAGCTCCACTGTGCCCAATGAGGGAGAAGTCTGTGGCCTCCAAGAGCCTTGCTGTTGCGCTGATCTTTGAGAGTATCATAAGGTTCTGTGGTCGCTGGCACCAAGAAGGAGGCAAGCAGAAGGGCTGGTTGAGGGGAGTGGGCAGCAGCCAGAGCTGTCATCCTTTGGCGTCCTAGCAAGCCTCAGTGGCTGCAGTCTGGCCCAGTAAGAGCAATGCCAGGAATCCCAGGGAGAATGCGGCCTGAGGTCCCCCGTGGCCCCTCTGCCTACTCAGATGGTCACGATGCCGGGCTTCCAGGAGGTGGGCGAGGTTCCCACCCAGCGCCTCTCTGGTCCTCAGCTGCAGGCACAAGGATCAACCTGCTCTGCTCAGAGTGGCAGAGTGGAAGGATGCTGAGCCGGGGAGGGGCTGTGGGCTGCAGCACACCTCTCTGTGAACCTCAGGTAAACGGCTGCCCTTCACTAGGCCTCAGTCTCCATGCCTGTCCAATGGACAATCTTAAAGGGTTTTTCTGGTTCTAACATCCAAGATGACCGTGCCAATGCCTGGGATGTGTGTGCTGCTCCCCCTCCTGCTGCCCCCACTCAGGGAGCCTGCAAAGGGTCAACTTTGGGAGCATGGGAGCGCCAGATGCACTGCCGCGGCCCTGGCTGCTCAGTGTTGAGCCAGCCCACTGGGAATTCTCCCACTCAAGCTCCCTTTCCGGCCCAAGCCCCCACCCTCTGAGAGCCACTGCTTCCGGCTCTGGCAAGTGTGGGTGGGGTCTCAGGAGGGGGTCCACTCAGCCTGCTTCCCTCCTGCAGGAAAAACACAGCCAAGAGTCCAGACAGAAGCTTCAGTGTACTCCATGTGTGCCGCTGACACTGCATACCCAATGGTGTGGGTCACTGCCATTACCAGCCATGGCCAACTCATGGGCTATAAAGTAAGCGGGCTGGGTGAACGCTCCTCCATCCTGACCCTGGACTTCTGTGATAGCAGCTCTGGGCGGCATCTGAGGATCAGTTGCCCTTCTTGGTCTGCCCTAGGGCTTGTGCAAAGTGCCTGCTTTCAGTGTTTAGTCAGGCCTCTCTATAACCCTGGGAGGTAGATGTAGAGAGGGCTTGGAGAACACAGAGCCTGAATGTCCCGGGCCACATAGCTAGGAGATTGCAGAGCTGAGATGGGCCGGCTAACCTCAGAGCTAGGCTTTTAACTGTGGAGTGTGCCACCAAGCTGTGGGGTGCTGAGGCTGAGCCCAAGGGCGGGGCTTCCTGCACTGCCTCACAGTCTGTCACAGGCAGGGTTCCCACCCTCGCACTCTGCCCTCACACTCTCCCAGCTTCCCTAGGATGGAGGTGTCATGGCTAGACTCAGCACCTGAAGATGGGAAGGTAATGCTCGTGGCTTATCTTGTCCACAGGGGCGGGGGCCAGGCTGGCCATGCCTGCATGGCAGTGCCATACTATCCATGTGCCCTGTCCATTGCCCACCTGTTGAGAGGCCTGGAGGCCTGCATTGCTGGGAAGCTTTGGTACCAATCTCTCCTGTGAATCAGTCCTTGAAACATGGTTTACCAGAGGAGGAAACGGGAGTGAGCATTCAAGTGACTTGCACAAGGTCACACAGATGCAGCAGGAGAAGCTGGCCCTGACCCCAAGCACTGCCTCTGTCTCTGGAAGTTGTGCAGTCATGACTTTCTCTCCTCAGTTGTCCCAGCCTTGGCAAGAGTCCCTGGTGCTTGGTGGAGTTCCACATTTCCCACCTAACTCTCCTTTGAGAGGAGGAGAAGCAGCCCTACTGCCCATCAAGGGTTAATGGTGGTAGGGGCTAAGTGATTCCAGATGGGCCAGCTGGATGGCTGTGCTGGCCGGAAAAGGCAGCCGCCAACCACTCCACCCCCGGGGGAGCTACCACCAACCACCCCCTCCCCTCTGTGCTGCACCTCTGGCCCCCAGCTGTGCTCCTGCCCTTGGGCCCCACCAACCTCTTCTCCCGGGCCAGTGTCTGGCTCTAAGGGAAATCACAATCAGGGCATCCCAAGGACATTCCACCATAGTGAGCCTAGCTTCAGATGGACCTATGGGGAAACTGAGGCTGGGGCAGGACAAGGGACTCCTCCAAGGCCTCCCAATAAGTCCAAGGCTAGGTGTCCTCACTCCTAGAATAGTGTCTTTGGAGTTTGAAACTCTTTGCTTTCCCAGAGATGTCTTGGCTATAGCAGTTGCTCCATGGTGGTGACTGGCTAAGACAAATGTTAGGGAGGAGGATCTCTCTCTCTCTCTCTCTCTCTCTCTCTCTCTCTCTCTCTCCTTCCCCTCTCACTCACCCTCCTTCCCTCCCTCCTTCCCTCCTTCCCTCCCTCCCTTCCTTCTGCCCTCCTTCTGCTTTCTTCCCTCCCTTCTTTTGTAGTTTTGGAGCTTGAAGCAAGGAGTTGGAATTTTTTGATTGAGTCTTTGGATCCAAAACTCCTGGGCAGCCTGACTTTGTGGTTTGTGGGATCACTCCATGTTTCCTTGTGACCCTGCTGCCACTGAGTCCTGGCCCAAGCCCAGGCCCCATCTCCAGGAAGACTCATCATGGGCTAGTCTGAGAACTCTTGTTCTGCGTGGCCAGGCCTTATTACAGGCAGAAGCCCCAAAACTGACTATGAGATAAATTACTATGGTTGGCATGGAATCTTGGTCCCAGGGCCCTGGGGAAACTGAGGTGGAACAGGGAATGAGAGAGATACAGAGGGTAGTATGGAAGGAGTTAGGCTCTACCTGTGTAACTTGGGACACTTGTCTTCCCCCATTGGGATTCAACTTCCTTCTGTGACTCGACTCAATTTTCCCTCATGATCAGGTGGGAAAACTCTCTCTCTTGTGTCTAGCTATCTCTTGGCCTAAGAAGGTGCAGGTGGAAGAGAAGAACCAATCAGGATCCCTGAAGGAGACCTTGAAGCTCAGAGGAGAAGGGGTAGGGGAGGATGGAACTGGAAAATTATAGATACTGGAAAATATCTCATTGAGGGACTGAATGAAAGAGCCACAGGGTAACCTAGGAAGAAGGTAGCATGGGGGAGTCTGCACTGGAGCATGGCTCCATAAAGGTGGGCATAAAGGTGACCCGGGTCCCTTCTATCCTGTGGCTGCACGAGCCTGGGAAGCTCACTGTACTATTCTGGGCCTCAGTTTCTTTTTTCATATGACAGCACAAATAGTCTCTTCTTGGCTCCTCAAGGGCCTTGAATGCTACAAGGAGAATGTCTGGAAGTCTGAGGAAGTGTGCTAGGTGATCTTAGGCAAAATGCTTTTCCTCTCCGCGCTTAGGTGCTGCTAGACCTCAGCTTCCCCTCCTGAAGAAGAAGCCCTCGTGGAGGCTCTTCCATCTCTTTCAAGCCACCTCTTTTCAAAAGGGTTCCCAGTGTCCGAGGCCAGGGACAGGACTGGGAAGGTCTCAACAGAAGAGGCTCAGCGTCCATCACCTCAAATCCAAACAGCAACAGGAGTGATGGGGAAGTAAGAAAGGCATGCATTGCCCTGGGGGTGTAGCTCAGTGGTAGAGCGAGGCCCTGGGTTCCAGCCCCAGTGCCATAAGTAAACTGAAAACATTTTATCCATCAGTGTGGCCAGACTGGGAAGCCTGGAGTCCTAAGCCCTGTCTTCAGGGTGCTAACAAGAGCTTCAGAACTCTATAGGAGAAGAGTCAGGGCAGGAAGCAAGAGGTGAGCAGTTAGGAGTTGGGCCCATGTGGTACGGCTGACCATTGGGTCTTGGGGAGGTTGTGCTTGCTGGAGGGGACAATTCAGTCGTCATCAGGAGACGATTACTCTGCCTGAGGAGAGGCCTTGGTTCCCATCCCGAGTGACCCACCTGAACTCTTGGGAACAGCTATCCTGATCTTTAGGGGGATGACAGAAGTTTGGTAAATTTAAGACTAGATGACCAGTGTGTACGTTGCATTGATGCTTTTTATGCAAAATTGAGCAGGAATCTGACCCCAAGTTTAAAATAACAAAGATAGTTGTGGGTCCAAGTGGAGAATCAGAGCTTACAGGAAAAGCAGCCCTTAACTGGGTCCCGGCCAGAGAGGTGTGGACTCCCTCGGGTCTTGAATGGTGAGTGCAGCCTCAGGCCCGTGCTCTCCTGAGGCCACTGCTTGCCCAGTGTGTGCCTCTCCCCCTCGACAGCGTCTCACTACTGTGTCCCTGGCACGCAGGCAGTGTCTGGTATTCAATAGGTGCTCTAACATTCTTGTTTAATGAATGAGTGCTGGCTGAAGCATCAGAGCTTCTCTTATGGACGGAGAAATTGAGGCACAAAGAAAGGACCTTCGTGCCCCATCCCCAGGCAGCCTGGCCATGGAGACTGCAGCCAGAGGCAGGCATCAAGCAAGGGAAGCTGGGCCACTCTTCAGTAAAAGTGACTCAGTGGCTGGCGTGGGCTGTGGAATTTCTAAACATCCCCTCACATCCTGAGAGAACGGGCGACGGGAGGGAGCGAACAGAGGGAAAAAAAGAAGAAAAACAAGAAACTTGGGGGGAAAGAAAAGAGAGGGGGGGAAAAAAAACCCTGAAATTGAAAACAGACGCACGCGTCCACATTCCCGGCCCCTCCACCCCCCTCCTCCCCAGCTGGGCCAATCAGAGGCCGCCCTGCAGCCTTTCCCCCAAAGTGGTGGGGCGGGCGAGGGAAGCCCACGGTGGTGTGAGCTCAGGGGCTGCCCGCGCCCACAGTCCCTGCCAGCTCTGTCTGGGACCTGGGATCGCTCTGCGAGCAACTCGGAGTCAGGTCATCACTGAGGAGAGAGCTGGGCCCACAGACCAGCAAGGTCCGCAGCCGGTGCCGCTGCGCCCGCCAGCCTGCCGGCACGCACAGCCAGACCCAGGGCGGCCTCTCCTGGCAGCTCTGCTCCTCCCAAAGGATGCTTTGGGAGTGAGGCAGGCTGGCCACTTCTCGCCCTGCAGCCGCCTCTCTGTCTTCTGAGTCTCTGGGAGCCTGGGATAGTCCCGGCTGCCCTTCTGCCTAGCTGTCGCCTGTATTGGGCCCAGCGTAGTCTTTCTGATAACAAGGGCAGTAGGGAGGACTTCCTGGAAGGGGTGGCAGCCCACAACCTGGGACAATGTCCACACCAGACTCCATCAACAACAAAGTAAGTGCAGGGAGGGTGGGGAATTCCTGGCCCTCTGCCCTATCCCTTGCCCCAGCCCATGCCTCTTTGGGTAGGTAAAAAAAAAAAAAAAAGGGAAATATTTTTTAACAAAACCAGATGGGAGGTGACTGGTTGGCTTTGAGTGATGTCAGGGCTGGAGGAGCCAGCCTTCTCCTCCCCCAGGGCTGGGCGACTGCTGCCCCTCAACTCTGCTGCCCCTGCCCTATTCAAACAAACTGGGATTGCTCTCTGAGCAACTCAGAGTCAGGAGATCACCAAGACAGACTTTGGGGTGTGGAGTGGAGGCTAATGGGGGGTGAAAGCTGGGAGGGGATGGAGAAAGAAACTGAGGGATCCCACAGGGAACATAGAAAGGGACCCATCAGTATGAGGGCCCTCAGGACTGTAGCCCCCTGTCCCTTGGCTGGAGCCTCGCTCCTAACAATCAGACTGGCTTTAGTCCAGTCAGCCAACAGGCAACCTTTGGGGATTTAAATGGGCTTGCAAATTTTCCAGATTCCTAAGATATCCTTCCAAAACCCCAGACACTGGGAAAATTCTGCATGAAGGGGGCTTTCAGCTAGGACCTACCAGTCTTGCAGCTGGGGCTGGGTGCCTGGGACCCAGAGGTCAACTCCAGGGGTCCTCCATGTGGAGGGCTGTAGCTGAGCCATTTCTGTCTGTTCTAAGGGGCTGCTCAGGCCTCCTTGCTCTGTCCCTCCTCTGGGCTCGGCCCCTTTCCCACTCCATCCTAACGCACGTGTCTGATCACAGACCTTGCGGCCGAGGCCTTCTGTGGCTTCCCAGAGCCTGGCTCACAACAGTGACTGCCACTGATGGCCACTCACTGCTGGCTGATTCTGGGTCCGTAGCACTCACAGGCAGCACCAGATGCGGTGCCGTGCTCTCCTCTGCTTTGCATGTGTGGTGTCTCCTAGGGTGCTCCCTGCAGCCTCAAAACAGTAGCTTTTCCCTTCCTTCCTTCCTTTGCTTTTGAGTCACAGAATTGTAGCCACATAGCTAGCAAGTGGCAGAGCCTGGAGAAGATACAGGCTTCCACTGGCCCTCTACTCCAGACCTGGGCTTCCTGTTCCTAAATTTGTTCCAGAATTTTCAGAAAGAATTTGTGTCATCCTGCCCGTGGGCACTTACCCGCCCCATTCCCTCGGCCTGGAATGCCCTTCCTCATCACTTTTCTGGTGAGGCCCCTGCTACTCCATCTCTTCCAGGCAGCCTTCCCAGGTTCCTCCTGTCTTCCGGTGCTGGCCCGGCACTCGCGCTCTGTGCTGGAGCCTTGCTGCTGATCATGCCCTGTTCCTACTCTGCGTGCACAGCAGAGATTGTTCATGTTCTGGGGTTCATTGTTTTGTGTTCTGTCCCTAATACCCAGCCCTGGGTGGGTTCCAGGCTTAGGAAATGTGCTGGTGGAAGGGAAGGGGGCCTCTTACCTTGTTTCCAGAATATCAGGTGGCTGTTCCCGGCTGTATTTTTCTGTGAAAGAAGGGAGAAGGAGGTTTCTGCTTGCCTCTGTGGCCTCCCAGAGTGCACAGAGGCCTCTAACAAGATGTCTTGACATTATCTGTTCTTCCTCTGTCTCCAGGCAGGGGACCCTGAACCCACAGCAGTGGGAGGCAAATGGTCAGGGTGGTCGTCATCGCTGACACCCATTGCATGCAGGCAGAGTCAGGTATGGCCCTCCCTTGGAATCCTGCCAGCCAGGTTGAGACTGATGTTGTTAATACCCCATTTTCCAGGGGAAGAACCTGAGGTATGTAGAGGCTAAGTGAGTTTCCAGGGTCACACAGTTAGTAGAACTAGTGTTTAGGTGCAAATTTGCTGGAATCCACAGGCAGGATCCTGCATACTCAGGGAGCTACTCCTGGTCAGCAGGGCACTTCTATCCTCCCCAGAGCCTGCTTCCAGTTCAGGTACCTTAGTACCTTCCTCAGCCCAAAGGGCAGCCTCGGGTCTGACTGCTGTAAGGTCCACTTCACCTGCTGAGGTCCTGAGAGAGGCAGGAGGCCACCTGGTCAGCACCCTCCTTGTGGACAGTAGTTATCAGACAACCTCCCTCCTCGGAGAGCAGAGCTAGGGTTTGTAATTGTCCACAGATATGAGACCGGCAGCAGAAAGCACTGTGGATTCAGAGTTAGCAGACCCATCGCCTGCCCTGGCTCTATTCAAATCCACTGTGTGGCGTGTTGATTCTTGCACTACTTTCACATCTGGGAATAGTGGGTATGGAGGATGAGTAGTACCTGGCTTGGGCATCGGTTGACTGTGGGTCACCTCTGATTCAGCTTCTGGCTGACCATGTGACCCGCGGCCAGTGCTTTGCTTTTCTGGGCCTCAGTCTCCTCTGTGTGCAACAGAGCAGCGTTTATAGCTAAGGTGTTTGGCACAGTCCCTAAACGTCAGCACTGGAGCCTGGAGCCTCTGATAAGAGCAGGTGTTGCTCCCTGCCTCCTGCATGTGATCGCCTCACTGTAGAATGACCCACAATCCGCAAAGGCCTCTGCCCTGAAGGGCCCTGGACACTGGACATTCTGAAGGTCCACTTTGTCCTTGGGGCAGAGCTCACATTGTGGCCTAATGACCAGCTGCTTTCTGGCTGCAAGAAGGGGCCCTGGATACTTGTTCAGGACAGGCTGCAGGGTGCAGTACAGAGGGGAAGGAGGAAGAGTGTCCCTAGACATCCCTACAATTCCCGCCTATTTCTTGGAGATGCTTAAGAACCCAAAGACAGTGGGTCCTCAGAACAGGACTTTGCCCACAGACCCCAAAAGTGGGGGTGGTCCCTCCCCAAGGTCAGAGCTGTGAGGCCTCAGCTGCAGGAGTGTGGGCAGAGTGATCTAATGGGAACCAATCCTTTCTGGACACTTTCAATGGGCATTTTAATCGTGTCTGTCCATTACCTCACAGCTTACTGATGTAGCCCTCAGCTCTTAGAACATGCCTGGCATTCAAGAAGTTCTTAATAAATGTTTGGTGGATTGATTTAATCATTGCGGTAACCTTAAAGTGTAGATAGAGACACTTACCACTTTACTGATGAAGAGATGCCCAGAGAGGGTAAGTCAGTTACCCAGCATCCCACAGCTAGGAAGTAGAGGAGCTAGAATTTGTGCCCCAAGTGTTTCTGACTCCTGAGCCCTGTGAGGCAAGGCTGGGTGGGCACCAGGGGACCCAGTGTACACTGTGAGGACAAGCCTCAGCTCTGGGAACCCCGTTCCCTACAGCCATGAGACATGGGCAAGCTGGTCCCTCTCTGGGCCTCGTCCTCTCATAGTCGTCAAACAAAGAGGTTGACCCTGAGGATCGCAACCTCCCTTCCAACTCTAAACAATTCCAGGATTCCAAGTCCCATCAGCCCAGATTGGCAGCTGCACAACCCTGCTGTGTACTCAGGCAGGGATCATGCATATTTAACTTCACAATGAAAGGAGTTTTTCTTACATTTTCTCGACACATTACAGAAAGAGGTCAGGATCAATGGCTGCTAATGGAAAACTTGAACCTGCAATAACAAGGAGGAGCTTTTTAGCCATTAGAGGAGCCCTTCCTCAGAGATTCCAAGGGCATGTTCCTGCAGGGGTTAGAAGCCCTGGTCCCTGGATCCTGATGGCAAGGAGGGCTTATTGGGCTGGGGTATGGTCCTTTAGGTGCCTTCCAGTCCTGAGCTTTCAAGCCCCAGAGGCTCTGATTTCAAGAGAAACCAAAGCTTTGGCTTGAACCACTGAAGGGCTTAGCTGCAAGGGAAGGAAAGGACGCAGAGGCCCAGCTCTGGGGGTGTGGCTGTGGAATCCACACATTTGATGTGTCCAGAGTGGACGCCCACCTCCTGCCTTCCCCTCTCTTCAGGGCCAGACTCAGTAAAAGAGGTGCTTGAGCCCCTCCACCCGCGCCCCAGCCCATTTCCCAAGGCACCCTTCAGGACAGCCCACCCAAGCATGGTGCAGGAGGCTGGAAATCAAAGTGCACTGCTCTAATTGCACCACTACCCTGCTCCTGCTTTACGTAAGGGCTGTTTGATATCTCGGGTCCCTGAACCTTTCATCTGCCAGAGATGCCAGCTTCTCCACCCCAAGTTGGAAGGGGCCATCCCTTGAGAGGGCCAGCAGATTGGGAAGTTTCCCACATGTCAGAGATGAAAAGGGCTTTCGGGTCACCTGATTTGACTTATGCTCTTTTATAATCGGGAGCCTGAGGTCCAAAAATAGGAGGGGTGGGGCGGAGGCTGTGCAAACTGTGAGAGGTGGTGTGGAGCCCCAGACCTGAGCTTTCCTTTGACCTCCCTGGGCGCTGAGGCTTCACCAGTGCCTAAAGACCTGGAGAGGCCTAACCCACCAGGCTTAGCCTCCAAGTCTCACTAGGGTGAAGCTAGGGAGGCAGATTTAGGCTGTAGAGGAGCAAAGAAGCTGCCTTTATGAAGGATAGAACCCCACCCCCACCCCGGGTAGTTTCTTGCCACTCCTCCATTCTGGCCATGTTCCTCTTATGTAAAGAGCAGAGAAGGCAGGGGGTTGCTCAGAGACCCCAGAGAGCCCATCCAAGCTTCTTGTGGCTCTCCTACCATATCCCTGCAACTGTTCTGGTTATTTCCATTTCCTGGAAAGCAGAACCCCAAGAGTTGTGAACCCACTAACTTCTCTACTTCTGAAGGTAGGCATAAGTGGAAACGGGAGGACCAGCCAGATAGCTCAATGGACTAAAGTGCCTGCTTAGGCAGGCTCAGGGACCAGGGTTCAATCCCTGGAGTGCCATGCCAGTCCTGCCTCTGGGGCATACTGAGAATAATTGAGACTGCTCATTGCATGTGCCTGTAATCCTGGCACTTGGGAGGCTTAAAACAGGAGGATTACTACAAGGCAGATCTGTGTAGTGAGACCCTGCAGACCCTGTACTAAATACATGAACAAAAAGTGAGGTGGGGGATGGGGAACTGGGGCAGGACTCAGCTTTGTAAACCTTTGAGAGAAGGCTGCCCTGTCCTCTACTAA